AAAGTGAGTCAGTGAGACTGATTTTTTTTTCATCTATTTCAATTTAATAAATTAATCAAAAGTGAATTCTATTTTAAAATTTAAATATACAATCTTTTCTCAAAACAAATTAAAATCCACTCTAAATAAAAAATAAAAAATAAAAAAAAATCTTTTATTTTTAATCCAACATTCTTATTATTGAAGCCAAAACTATGACCGAGTTCGAATATTGTGTTTTTAAATCGAACTAATCAGTTTGGATATAAATAAAATCGATTTGATTGAATTAATAAATTTAAATAAGTTGGTTCTGAATAAGTTGATTAAGTGGAGGATTAAACGTGATTCTATGTTTGTATTTAAATAATATTTAAAATGTAATTATTAGAGTTGATATAATATAAAAGTGAAAAATATTATTAAAATTTGATAAATAAGTAGAAATATGTGAGTGAATAATAATAAATTAAAATAATGTGATGCACAATGAAAAATTGACTGATATTATTTAATTATATTAAAAATATTGAGTAGAATTGGTTTGAATAAATTTGAGTTTGATTTTTAGTTAAGTAGTGTAAACAAATTGGAGACTACCACACCAATAGAATTTACCAAAAACAAGAAACCAATAATTATTTATTTTATTATATTTATAAAAGTGAGAAAACTATAAGGAAATTGTACAAAATAATGTGTACAAAATGCATCTATATACCCAAATAGTTTTGTAATACTCCCATCTTAACACAAGACATCTAAAATCTACAAATTTCATTTGCTCATCATCTGCAGAGACCAACCCCAAATTCTTGAACTACATATTTACTCCACATTTTTAAGATCACAAATTTACAAAGTTAATTTTCAATTTTTTTTCTTTTTTTCGTAATTGAACAAAAAGTAGTTTTACGTATAATTGATCTAGCCCTAGAAACCTTCGGAACTTCGTCAACATTGATTTTTACGATTCCATTAGGAAAAGGCCCGTCTGAAATGATCGTGCAGACGGGCTCAAAAGCATCAAAAAATTAGCACGTGCAACAGATGAATTTCGACAAAATATTCACTTCTTTGCATGTTGCGGGACAAGGCGTTGTAGCAGCTCGGGAGGTGCATCAGCCAGTTCTATAAGAATTAGCACCGAGAGAAAGGAAATTATAAACGAAACACAAACTTTACAGGCATTTGTAATAATTTATGTTCGGTTTTCTGTCATTACAAACAAAAAATAAATTTCTTATTTAAGTTTTGGCGTCAAGATGAATATCTTTTGCAAAAATTAACTAATATTATTGAAGTCGAGTAGTCGACACTAACCTTCAGGTGAGAAGTCGAAGATAGGTGGAAGGTTTCGGCCATTAGGTAAGCATGTATTAGGCTCTCTCAAGTCATCGAAAAATGGGTGTGCACAAGCCTCCAACTGTAAAAATAGAGGAAAACAGACAAAGTTAAGGCTTTTATTTTTTTCCTCTTTTTTTTTTCCAGTAAAGACAATGAGCAATATTCATGAGCCTCAAACTGAAATGTCATCACAAGTGAGTTTCGAGTATGTTCTGTTAATCGTATCAGTAAGAAAACTCACAGCAGTGAAACGTAGAGTAGGCGAATATTGGAGAAGCCTGGACACTAAATCTACTGCTTCAGGTGGTATTCTCCTATGAAAAACCTGGAGAGAAAAAAAAAAAAGGAACAAATAAAACTACTTCTCGATTTATTTTTCAGAAATAACTTGCAGCATTTTTTCTTATCGGTCACAAAAAGGTCATGCAAAATAAATGGTTTGCGAAATATAGAAAACATCTCAAATTTTGGACAGTAAGCTTTCTCGACGAACCTTGTGCCACGGGTTGGCTTTAATCTGAGGAAATTTAAATTCGGTGTAATTCGGATTCATGCACTTGATTTCTTCCCTAGTTGGGGTCCCCAAAACCTAACATGCAACAAAAATACAAATAAAATATAGATGTAAATTTACTAAATATAAATGATAATAAATAAAATAAATGAACAAGAGAGGAAAATAAAGAAAATCGAAGTCTCGAATTATACCTTGATTATTTCAACTAGCTGATCAACACTGCTTTCCCCAGGAAAGAGAGGCTGCGTGTATTCGGGAAATATTAGAAGTCGATTTCAAAACGTAGAAAAAGAAAATAAAAACGAAAGAGGTGTACAAAGAAATGAAGGTCAAAATAAAAACACATACCTTACCCAAGAGAAGCTCAGCCATAACACAACCAGCTGACCACATGTCGATTGCAGTTGTGTACTCTGTAGCTCCAAATATAAGCTCGGGAGCCCTATAATACCGAGAGCAAATATACGATATATTTGGTTCACCCGGTACCTGTAGCAATTGAAAAAATAAAAATATAATTCTCAGTTATAATTTTTATGAATGGGACTCAATTTAAGCTATATACCAAAATTATACATACCAACATCTTTGCACTCCCAAAATCGCAAATTTTAAGCTGGTGGGTGTGTGGGTTAACCTGCAGTAGATGTTAGAGATAGGTTGAACTACAGCCAAACAGACTGTTATTCATGTCGAAATAATTGTGAATTTAAGCTCAGTAACTTATTAGAGCACAAGGCATTTTCAAATTTAAGGGGCATTTTCAAATTTAAGGAGCATTTTCAGAAAAGGGAATGACTAGTAATACAGAAAGTGAAAAGCGGTTGGAAGTGAAAAGTCATCAGATTTTGCAAGTAGAAGCAAAAGGTGGTAGGAAATAAAGGGTGTGGGGCGAGTAAGTCAAAAAGACGATTTATTCAAATGTAAAAATCTCAAATTCAAAGCAGAAATTGAAAAATCTATAGTAATCCTCCCTTGCTATTAGATATCAAGTAAATTATATAAAGTTCAAAAGCGAAAGTTAATTAAAACACTTCAAACTACTCTCTTTCTTTTCTCCATGCAAAAGCTGACCATCGTCTTGTTTTTTGTTTTTAATCAACTAACTCTTCATTTAAATATAAAAACCACAAAGTACACAATTTATACCAAGACCATGCATTAACAGATCAAGAACATTTTCACAGAAAGAAAAAAATATGCATACCAATAAATTTTGCGGCTTAATGTCACGATGACAAACCCCAATAACTCTATGAATGTAATTTAGCGCTCGGCAAATCTGCAATTTTAAACCAAAACAACACCAGCAATGATTCTCATCAGCTATTCTCTTTTCATTCTTTGTTTCTCAATGCACGTCAATAGTACAATAAAAGATATTTGCAAATCATTTATATATACCTGGTACGTGTAAAGCTGCACATACAGAAAGGGCATGTACTGATTCACCCGGATGTAATGCCTCGAAGCCCGATGAACAGTTTCAGAGACATAATCTAGAACAAGGTTGAGGTACACCTCATTTTTTTCAGTAGTTGAATAGAAATAATGTTTCAAGTGAATGACATTTGGATGACCAAGCAATCGCATTATCTGCAGCTCTCGGTTTTTGTATCTCTTATCCTGCAGCACCTTCTTTATGGCTACAAATTCGCTCGTTTCTAGACACTTGGCCTATAAATGAGAAAATACGGTTATAAAATTAATCCGATTTATCTTGCAGAGGCAAAACTACTGCTTAGTTATTTTTATTTACCATTTTATAAACAAGTACCTGATACACGACTCCAAATGAACCAGTGCCCACAACACGTTCCGCCATAAATGACAATGTCTGATGTAAAAATTGAAGAAAAATTAAGACAATGGTGCAAAAATTGAGCATGCAAGAATCAGTTTTATTTATTAGATGGCGCCAGATTAATAACCAAGAAAAATAAAAAATAAAAAAGTTTCAAAGTAGAGATTGGCATTACGCAACATCACCTGTTTCGGCTCTCCATTTCTCCCACCAACTGAGATAGCAATTATCTGACCAGTTTCTGTTCCATTGCCACTGACAACAGTAGGTTCTAAATCCTAGTAAAGTAAAACCCACATCAACAAAATATACCTAATAATACCCACCCAAAAACTCTAAAACAAAAATAAAGAAAAAAGGGTATAACACATATATAAATCAGACCTTGACATTCTCCTCTCGATCGTCACTTTTACCATCTCTGATTTTCGTTTCGTGCATTTCTTTTGGTGGCTCATTGTGGCCAGGCTTCTCGAGCTTTTTACCATTTACAGCATGGGAGGATGTGGTTGCGATGGTTCGTGAGCAGTTAGATTCGGTAAACTGCTTCGGAGCTCTTGAATTTTTCTCCCCCACCTCTACCTCGTGCAATTCTCTTTGATTCGGTTCTTGATCCATTTTTGCCTTGTAAGTGATTAATTCCTCGCCCTAGAGCAAAGAAAGAAAAAAAAAAAATGAAATCGAAACTTCCGGTGGCACAAGTAAAGGTAATTAAAAATCATAAGTTGGTGGCATTGACAAATAGATGCTAATAGTTGGAAATTTCTCACACGCTCTTGTTTGACATTTCTATTTTATCCTATTCCAAATAGAAGCAAGCAATCACTTTGTTTCCTTGTGTTTCCTTTTTTCGGCATTCTTGAACACTTTGCACATTGATCCAAATCCGTTATGTTTTCTTGGGAACATTCAGACCAACAAATCACAAATACGATAGTTTGCTGCAAAACAAAATCGTAACATACACACGCAGCAGATAGGAAAGCAAGAGACACCATTTCAAATGTTTTAAGCAGGTCTTTTATCGACATTCTCTGCAGAACCTTCAGACATTCCACCATCACAAACACATATAAAGGATTGAACTACAAAAACCACCCACTAATTTCCACCTTAAAGCAAGCAAACAAAACAAAAAAAGGCAGTTAATATCAAGAATTACAGATGCCCCATAACAAAGGTCTTTATAACATTATGAAGGGCATTTGCAATTTTGCAAGATAACAAGATTTTCACAATCAAACTAAGACAATTGATAACAAACAACACATATACAAAGAAAAAAAACAAAAAAAACAATCCTTTAATAAATCAAGGCATCCCATCATGGTTCCAAGAATATCCAACAAAAAAATAAATAAAAAAAAAATCACAATACTCGATGAAATTCTAATCTTTTTTTTTTCATTTTACTGTCTCCGAACTAATTCTTGATTAAAAAAA